ATCTCTCTCCTATATCCTTTTTTCATATTTCGTGCCCCTCTCTTGGTGTCATACAAAACAAGCAAATGATAATATCAAGACATCAGCGTAGTGTAAAAACACATAGTTTGATATATTCTCTAAACATTAACAAGATTACCGTTACTATTCAATCTTTTCTATATTCTCTTGTCCTCGGTTCTCATAATTTAATTCGGTTCAAATTTCCACTGTAACAATATATTACTTTCATCCATTGTTTGCTTGATTTTTCGCTGATCTATTCACATAGTAACGATAGCATTAAATACATATATCCATTTTTACACTTGTTAGGTTTCCGAAAAATGCTAACCTTCAAAACGCAATGTCCAAAAGCGCCTTTCACAAAGATTCGAACCACTATAAGGAATACCGAGCGAATTGTGTGGATGGCTGACGTGAACCATGGGATTCGACTGATGACGCGAACCATCGGATTTCGGCTGGATGACGTGAACCATCGGATTTAGACTCGATGACGTGGACCGTCTGATGTCTGGACATCCCAACACAGCCATCTGCTCGTCACACTGTCAGCATCGACAGTGAAGACAGTACGGAGAATTGTATGCAACTTTCTTGTTTGCCCCACCGACACGCCCACATTCTGTGCAAACATTGCGAAATGTTAACCCTGTGTCTGGATTTTTCGCTCTCGACATTTTTGCATTTATTGCTGTACTTTTTCTCTTTATCTATGCCGCCTGGCAGGTTTTTTTCCCAATATAATTTCGTTGGTGGGCTTGGCCTATCTGAGAAGTATTACTTCAGTAAAGTACATTTTAAGCTCGTTGTAAGGTCTCATTTTTTCTTCAGATACACTGATTGACTGAGAAGGAAATCAATTCCCTCTCAGCATTCCTTTCTTCAGATACACTGATTGACTGAGAAGGAAATCAATTCCCTCTCAGCACTCCTTTCTTAACTGTAAGTAAGTAAAGTTCCTAAGTGTGCTTCCGTTTTCTGACCTGAGTAGACGTCTGACTACGCACAAGGCTTCTTCAAAAACTGAATCCACGTTGGTTTCTGCCATGCTCTATCTTGTAGCGGAAATCAGAAATAAAATAGATTATTCCAGAATTGCCGATATTATTTCTGATTTTTATTTTGTAAAAAAGAACTTTGTGAAAGCATGCAAAGCGTACATTATTTATGTGTACTTCATTTCATGCCAACAAAGTATTTCAGTCGAGACTGTCACTGATTATTAATGAATGAAAGAATACACAGTTGTCGTTCATAGAATAATTTTGAATAGGAAAAAAAATGCAGTAGTCTCATATCTCTCATTTGAAGCATTGCTGCTTTGCTGCCTTAGTTCTATGGCAACGTTCCATTGATCCATTCAGTTACTCGAAGTTCCATTGTCAATTCTTGACCGATACATTTAAGTAAAAGAGCTTTCATGCAAGGACTTTGAACTGCAAAATTTATTGATTAGTTGTAGAGGGTACAGCTGCGAATTATTTATCACCTAGATATACTGTTTACACTTGGGAAATATATTATGCTAGAAGTTAAAAATGCCTTCAAAGTTTGGATGAAAAATTATTAATCGCTTAACATGTTAAGTTTTTGCTTATTTTCAATTAGTTAAGTACAATCACAGATCTATATTAACGAAGAGTTGTGCGAAATTACAAAAAATCTCCAACTTCTTTACAACTACAGTAAGGGTGATATTTTTGCCAAGAAGAGGGGATAATGGATTATAGTCGTAAAAAGCATGGGATAACTTTACAACCGACACCGGAGAAAATGTTGATCTTATGCAGCCTTTTACCTTATAGATTTTGATAACTAATTAACCACTTCTGTAACAAAGTTACAAAAAATTATACGACTTGATGGTTGAAGGGTTTTGAGAACTGTATGTTTTGAATGAGAGTATCAGAATTAATCTATCATGATATTGCCATAAAAGTTTTATTAATATCTTATCGACTATAACTGTTTACTATATTCAGCAGTACTTCAGCCATACTAATAAGCATTTAAAACAAAAATGCTATTAACTTAATTAAGTTATAAATAACAGTTATAAAATTGGACTACAGTTGATAAATTTTAGTGATTGCAAGTCTAAATTAGCATGTAAGAAATAATTTGATGGAATTAACAAGAAAAAGCTATGATTTTTTTTAATTCCACAATCATAAGTATTTCAATATTCCGTATGAGATCAACGAGTTTGCTTATAAGACTTAAAAATTCAAATCTGAATTTTTAACTTGCACTTCAGTTTAGGAATTCGCTTTTAATTCATAAAGTTGTCATTAGCACTGATTATTTTATCATAACACTTCACACTGTCATAATACTTGACGGATGTACTGTATTTGTTCCAAAATGTAAAATTTTCATTTCAAAGGTAAAATGATGAATTCTTTTCTTTTAATTCTTTCAAATTTTTCGTCCATTTTATTTTGAAATTAAATTATTGGAAAATGATGGAGACTGGTAAAGTAGAGAATTTTGGTCACAAATCCTTCTTCATATAAACAAGCTCGAGAAGTTTTCGGTAAACTTTAAACAAATTAATGGACATGAAAATAAATTCATTAAACCCAACTACCGATAATTATTGAGATTAGAAATTTGATTGAATGATGCAGTCAGTTTGCCTTGACGAAACGAATTTACTGATATGTCATTAACAGTAATGATGTTAGAGTGTTTTATCAATCTCAGTTACTGTCATGATAAACTACTTTAGTAGAGTTTTCTTAATTATTCTTAATCTATGAATCCAGCTCATATCTTCTGTGCGAAATCCTGAATGACAAAATTGAACTTTGACTTATAATTCTCGATTGTTGGAGGATTATTATGAAATGTGGCCCAGTTTTAAGGTTTTAATTCATAAACTTATTTTTTAACACTCTATGAGAATAATAATTTCTGTTGCAATTTTTTTTTAAAAATCTCAGTATTATTTTCAGAGTAACAGCTTTGAACTATATATTTTTTTCATTGTTCAGCGTCGTCGGCTAAATACAGCACGTTTATGTGCCTTCTGTACCACTTTAAGTTTGCTATTCAAATGTCCTTGAAGTGGTTCAATACCAGTATATGGCGGATCTTTGGTACCATGGAGCATAAGAGTGAATTTTTTCACCATTCCATGATTTCTACCTTCACCACCCTGAAATTTATACAGAACTCAATAAAGTTGGATTTGCAGTGATAAAAATTCGTTTTAAATTCGACTATTTTATCCACCAGATACAGTTATTTAGTTTAACTCAAAAAAGCTAAGCAAAGAAGTGTTTTTTTTTAATATTATTTTGACTTTTAACCTGAAATCGAGCAATCAAACGCCATTTGCCTCGAGGATTTTCACCCCAAGTATGTGTTGTCATAAATGGCCAATTTGTAAATCCATCTTTATTATCGTTGTCTTTTGGACGTCGAGACAAAATCATTGTTCTGGAATAGAAAATTCTTAGTTTACATTCTAAAATAAATATTTTTAATTTTTCAAACTTGTTTATGGTGTGTATTTTTTTTAAATATAAAATTCATACTATTCATGAAATTTGGTTAGCTTCTCAATTTTCTTGATATTGAAATGTCATTGAGACTTTATATTATACAAAATTCAACTGAATGTCTTAAATTAACATAAAATATTGCAAAAGTACAGTATCAAATAAATTACTCAGTGCCAGACGGAGAAATCAAATACAGCGTAGTATCACCACGTCGAGTACTATTCAATGTAACTACTGCTTGCACATGTTCCAAATAATTAACTTCAGTTCGACTTCCCATGCAAGCATCAGTATCTAATTCCAATACAAGATTGCCGATTGATGGAATTTCACTGAAAATTTAATTTATCACTGATAAGCTTTTCATGAATAGTTTGCAATGGTCATAATAAGAGTTATTGAGAATTGAAATAATAAAAATTTTTTCAAAGTCTCAGGTCAAGTAATAAGACTGTATTAGTCTAACTTGTCAAAAACTGAGTCAAATAGTAATCTTATTTGAAAGTTAAATAATGGTTGCACTTTAGTAATGCAATAATTCACTTATATTTTTTTTAGAGTGTAATACTATAAGTTTTTTTTAAATCATGTAATAAGTATTAACTGTGGCACAGCGATAGTTCCCGCTTCGCAGTGAAATCTCGGTGGTGAAGTTTTCCAAACCATTGCTAACATTACCATTTCTGCTGCATCCAAAACACCAAAACCAAACAAATGATTGAATTCCAATCCAACGCCATTCATTTTCCATTCAAAATGGGTACAGTTATTTTTTGCATTCTTATAATTTTTATTCACGCCCTGAAAATTAAATAAATATTTTAATAACTTCACTTATTTTTCTCGTAATGAATTAGATAAAAACTATTTTAGTGTTCAGATTATTTCTACTTACTTCATTACTATCATCAAGTTTATTTGTACAAATTTGGAGCTATTTGATATACATGTTTTATTTTGATATTCTTTGCTACAATATTTATTTCGTCGGTAAACATTTTCGTTTTTACTTATTTCAAATATTAGTCATTAGTAAATTGTAATTTATTGAAGTTAATTTGCAAATATTGAATAATATAGTTCATTTGTGCGCTCTTACGAAAAAATTAATTTTAAGTACCGTTCATTGTATTTAATTTATTCTAATTTCGACGCCTTCGCACCAATGTCCATTTATTCTTTTGTAATTTAATTCTTACATGTATTTTTTGTCGAACACTACAAGCTAGTTTTTCACCTCAAATACAAATAATTAAATTAAAGTCAATCAACCTTTTTTACTTACCTTAATGCCAAGATCGGGTAAATCTCTGCATCGTCCATCAAACAATGAATTCCGAGTCGATGTTAGTACAGTCAAATGTTGTAAGTCACGCCTGAATAAACTTTTTAAATTTTTGCCCAAAAAAATGCATATAAAATTTATTTACTCTACACTAAATACATAAAATGATCAATTTTAGTAGATATTAATAATAAATACTAGTGAATGGCAAATTATTGACGTGATATTCTTTTACACGGAATGTTACCAGGTAAGAAATGGATTGGCTTCCAGTGCAAGGGCAAAAACTCCCGCTGCTTCTGGAGCTGCAGCAGAAGTTCCACTGTGTGATCTTGTACAGCGACCATATAAATCCGTAGTTGCCACTCCTGTCTCGGGATTCCTTCCTCCGTTCGAAAATGTTGAAGCCAGCGTGGATGAGCAACTCCTAAAACATCTACCTTATCTTTTTAATTTTAAAAAGTTTTTTCCTTTCGTTGTTTTTTTCTCAATAGAGAGTTTGCGTGAGACTATAATGAAATGATACGCGAGCGCGCATTATTCTACACTATGTTTATGTCTGAAAACAATCTATAATTTTGATCAATCAAATCCCAAGAAAGATAAAGCAAAATTGATAAATTACTTTTGTGGCTAAATTAATTCATTATTACCGTTATGAGAGTCACATTCTCTTAAATAAAAGCTGCAAGATTTGTTTTCTTTTTATCATATCTGCAGTCCTTACAGAATTTGTAATAAATGCATAATTTAATTATAACAGAACTTACTCATCGTAATGAGCATTTTCTCCATTATTAATAGCTGAATTAATGGATATAGTCCACATTGAAGCAGCGTAGCCGTCACAATTACAGTCGTCTTCTTCACCACCATCTCCACTTGCCCACACAAATATCGAACCTAACCCATTTCGTCCCTAAATGATCAATTTGCATAAATTTTACTGCATCAAAAATTCTATTCACATTTATGTGCAATCCAAATAATCTCTGAAATTTTAATGTATATAAATTTTTAAACTGAAAATATTTATTTAATTAAATTGAAACCCTGAAATGATTCAGAAACCATTTCTGCAATAATCTTCTAGCTAACTTCATTAACTCCTTTGACAATCGCTCGCATTGTTGCATTACGTGGTCCATCAACAGTTTTGCCATCATCCGTCGGACCCCAACTTGCGGAGTAAATATGAATCAAATTCGGTTCGTGACCCATCGAATTAGCCCAAAATTAATAATGAGATTAAACATATAACGCTATTAAAGTCTTCAAATTTGCACAATTTATTCAGTAGTTAAGATTGCTACAATACTGACTTTTAAATTATTTAAAGCAGTCAATTAAATCAAGATTCAGTTCCTGAATTTGAAAGTTATTTGATCTGATTTAAGTTTAATTTACTCATGTACCTCAATCAGATCTGTCATATAAGGCTGATCAAGCATCCGAATTCCGGCAACTTTACTGTCGTAGGCTACGCCAACACCACAAATACCGTTATCTCGTGCCGCTGCGATCTCACCTGCACACCTAAAGTACCATAAATGTCAATTATCAGTACAAATCAGAACTTTTGCTTGCATCAATTCAATGTCTTTCAATAGTAAAACTTGTGAAGAGAAAAATATGATCGAAACTGAAAAAAAAACACTTTATCAAATATTGTGTCTTGCAGCAATTATGCATAAAATATAATTCAAAACTCAACAAAAATGACTAAAATGAATTTGTGCCAATAGTTTTTAAGATTTAAATACAAATAAATTTATAGTTTCCAATTTTCAGTCAGAAAGTCTGATTACCTGATTTCCTTTTTCTTCTTCTGAAAGTCGATTTTATGAGCAGTGTTTGTTATTTTTATTTTTTGGTTTCTTAAGATTTGGCTTGATAAATATTAAAATGATTTCAGATTGAGAATGAAGCTCGGAAAGCAACCTTGTTCCGTGGGAATTAAACCAATCATCAGTATATCTCGGATATGGGAATGGATCATTGGAACTGAAATCGTAACTAGCTCTTGCATTCTGCAAATAGCACAAATTCATTACAGAAGAACTGTATCTGACCAGGTTGCAAAAATGAAACATTATGTTAATTCATTAAAAATTAATCTAGAAAATCCAGAGAACACAACCGCATACTGACAAAAATGATTAGAAATAAGTAGTAAAATTCAAGAAAAAGAACCAAACTAACAAAATTCATTGCTAGGTCGGGATGCATGTAATCAACGCCATCATCCATGATTGCAGTAGTAATATTTTTGCCAGTGATTCCAAGCGCCCAAGCTTTTTCAACATTCAGATCTAGTTTTGGTTTGCCTCCTGCCTGGCCGATGTTCTTCTACAAGTATACTCAATAAATTTTGAGTACTAATCACATATTTGAATTACAAATTACTTGAAGCCAGTCAGGCCTCTCTTGTAGTTTTAAACTCAGCATCAATTTTATTATCAATGACTAATACGAAAACTTTCGGCCTACCTTTAGTCTTCAAAAAGTTACAAAAAATATTTATTTCAGACTGATACTTAAACTGCCTTACCAAATACCATTGGTACGGATAAAATGGATCAGAAGGCGATTGCACAGCGGTGAAATCAAGTTGGTCTTGTAATCGTTCTTCTAATGCCCTAAAAATTTGTTGCTTTAATTTTATCTTGGTTCACATTCTAAAAGAGTAACATTTGATAGCGTTATCAAAATGCATGACTCTTATTTCATACTTCAACTTTGACCTCAGGTTTAGGTCTCTAATTTTGAAAAGAAACAAATAAACAACATAAATTGATTAGCAAAAATAAAAATAATTAGATGCTTGCCTGTATCCTCGTTTAGTACGCTTGAAACCCTTCAACTGTTCTACATGCGCAACCTCAAAATAAATATTTACTAATTTCAGAGCAAAAGAAAAAAGTTTTAGCTACTATTATATTTAGCAAAGCATAAAATTAAGAAGTAATCAAATCAAAAAATAAATAAATATTTTTTCAATAGTAAAAAGTATCTAGCAAATTTGTTTTGTTTGTACAAAAATTTTTCAG